TGCGGGCCGTTTGATATTTTTTCCAGTTCTCTAAGCTTTTACATTTAAACCAATTTTTATAACATAACTTCTTATATTTTATCTTTTCTTGCACATTATTATTCCACCACTAACTATTTTTATTTGTAAATATTTTTTCTTTTGATTCTCTAAGCACATTTTTTGCTACTTATTTAATAGTGTTTGTTACTTTATCCCAGATCACATTTGCTTCTTCATGAATATCTCAAATTTTGAAATCTTGAATTTTACTCATAAAAAGAATTTTAATTTGTGTCTTTTAAGTTGTAATTAATCTTCATGAATATCCCAAATTAAGATGGAGAAAACATCCAAGTGCAAAATTATAAACCACAAAAGGAACGACCACAAAAATTACAAGATTAGGTAGTGTATGAAAAGAAAATATGCATACCACAACGTATTAACTGTCTAAACATTTCATAGACTTAACAAAATTCAACATTCTCAAGATGTACTTAAGAAACATTGGATCACCTTATAATTATCAAAATATTGCTACTTTATCCATTAATACAACAGGGGAAGTCAATATTATTTATAATAATGACGGGACATGTGGAATGAAATAGACAATAAAATTCAGGATAATTATGATGATTCCGATATAACATAAATTTCCGTATACCTAAGCCACAGTAAAGAAATTCACTAAATATACATTAACAGACCAATCCAGATGACTGACAGTAAAAGAAAAAACAGACTAGTAAATAGGAGACCTTCTATACCAGTCCGCAAAAAGAAATGGAAGGGAGGAGTGGGAAAATATAACAGCAGCTCAAGGAATATTGGATATGTAAATCCATAATCAAAAAAATTTATCAATGATTGGAGAATGTTTAACTAAAAAAAAAGGATTCTTTAAACTTACAGTTTTAGGATTTGGGTCAAGAATTCTGCTTATCAACGACTTGGTGCCAACAGAAAACCATGTAGGATAAGAAAATTCAGCAGCATTAATCTGCAAAATATAACTTACAATAACTACAACTATCAAAACATAATTTCAAAATCAGAAAGGTTACAGAGTATGCAACAATATCTCTTTCTCTTTGAATTTGAAATGAAGAAGGCAATATCACGTAAGAAAAGAGGAAATATAATATAGACAATCGGGTCATGAAAAAAATATTCTCTTGATGCATTCACGACTTAGAAAAAAAGGTTAATCCACTTCCAAAGTTAAGCTAGATACCAAGACAAATTAAAAAAATTTCAGTCAAGTAACTTACCAATATGAAAAAACCAAAATGCTTTAAAAATGCTTTTGATGCTTTTAAATTTACTTTGTCCCTACATTCCTATTAAGAGTTACTTAAGTTGTTAGCTCTAATTTTCATAAATATTTTTTTTTGCGTAGCTTCTATATATGGGACTAAATTTTTTTCATAAATATTTTTTGCATAGCTTCTTGAATATATAAGATATTTTTTAACACTGTTATTGTCAGTCATAAGCCCGGATGTGAAAAATGGAGGGTTGCGTTAGGGAGTCGACAACTAGCATAAAACTTGTTGAAAAAATCATGACATGAATGTTTCTGATCATTGTGTAAGTGTTAGGGCGTCCCCTGGAAGTGACGTGTTGTATGGTCTGAATACAATGAAGTGTGTCAGGGTCGCTACACCGGCGTCTGGGTTTAGTGTCAAATAAGCAAGGGTTCCCACAATACAGATGGACACAGCTAAAGAAGTTAGTCCATAAAACTAAAATTAGGATAGGATCTTAGAATATAGGTACTCTCACTGGTAAATTAATGGAATTAGTTGATATTATGATTCATAAAAAGATAAATAACTTATGTGTTCAAGAAACTACATGGGTTGGAGAAAAGTCTAGGGAGATTGATAACTTAGTAAACTTCGGTATTCAGGTAAGACTCGCACTAGAAATGGGTGTAGGTGTAATTATAGATAAGCGTTTAAAAGATAAGTTCATAAAAATTAATAGAGTTTGAGATAGAATTATAGCCCTTAAGATTATTGTTGATACTAAGATTTTTAAAATTATAAGTGTTTATGTTCCTCAAGTAGGTTAGATGTAGGTTCTAAAAATAAATTCTAGAATGACTTAGAAGACTTAATAGAAATGACACCGCTTGAAGAAATATTTTTTATTGGAGGAGATTTAAATGGGCATGTCGTTAGAGAGGTAGAATATTTTAGAAATATTCATGGCGGTTACGGTTTTGGAGTGATTAATGAAAAAGATAGAGCTATATTAGATTTTTTTTTAGCGCGCGATTTTGTTATTGCTAATATTTTATTCAAGAAAAGAGATAAACATATTATTAAATATAAGAATGGATCTAATAAAACATAAATTTATTATTTTCTTATGAGAAGAAAATATCGTCAAGAATGTAAAGATTGTAAGGTCATTCCAAGTGAGGATTTAAGTACTAAACATCGATTAATAGTTATAGATTTTAAGATGAAGGGTTGTAAAATAAAGAATATTAAGTATCATCATCATAGAATTAGATGTGGGTACCTAAAAGACACAAATAAAATTATTTTTATGAGTAATATTCAAGATTTCAAAATTTGAGATGTTCATAAAGAAGCAAATTTTATGTGGGATAAGCAAGTAGAAAAAGTTATACTTGGATAATCAAAAGAAAAAGTTTCTATAAATAAAAATAGTTGGTGATGGTATAATAATGTGCAAGAGAAGATAAAATATCAGAAGTTATGTTAGAAAAATTGGTTTAAATGTAAAAGTTCATAAAACTGAGAAAAATATCAAAAGACCTGTAGGGAGTCTAAAAGAACAATTTGTGACTTTAAAAATTCTATTTTTAATTATCTTTATAATAGATTAGATACTAAGGAGTGTGAAAAATATATGTATAAACTAGTCAAACAAAGAGAGAAGAAAAGTAATGATTTAACTCAAGTAAAATGTATTAAAGATAAAAATCAAAAAGTGTTTTTCTTAAAAAAAATTAATAATATCGTTAATAATAATAAAATATTTCATTTTTACAGTCGCATTAGTAAAAAAGAAGTTGAGGTGGATTTAAAGAAAACGAAAGGTGGAAAGTCCGTTGGACCTTATGTATCCCAATTGAAGTGTTAAAATACTTTGGAGATTTGGGAGTTTCTTGGCTTACTAAACTCTATAATATTCTTTTAAAAACTAAAAGGATGCCTGAGGAGTGGAGGAAGAGTATTTTGTTCCCCATTTTTAAGAATAAAGGGGATACACAAAAGTGTGCAAATTATAGAGGAATTAGGTTGTTGTGTCATACTTTAAAATTATGGGAGAGAGTAATTGAACATAGGTTAAGACGTATTAAAAAGATTTCTCATAATCAATTTGGAATTATGCTGGGCAAGTCTACCATGGAAGCTATACATTTGTTGTGGTTTGATAAAGAAGTTGAGAGATAATAAGGAGTAGATAAGAAGGTGGATCTACATATGATTTTATTGATTTAGAAAAAGCTTACGATAAGGTTACAAGAGATATCCTTTGAAGAGTTCATGAGAAGAAAGGTGTTGATATGACTTATATTCAAGTCATTAAGTATATATATATAAGAGTTGTGACTTGTGTTCGAATAGGAGGATTGACCAAATATTTTCCTATTTATTGTGGTTTACATCAGGGATCGACTTTCAGCCATATCTTTTTGCTTTAGTTATGGATGGTCTTACTAGACACTTACGGGAGGATGTACCTTGGTGTATGCTTTTTGTTGATGATATCCTTCTCATGGATAAGACAAGAAAAAAAGCTCAGAAAAAACTTAAATTATGGAGGTCTATCTTGGGGTCTAAAGGCCTTCATTTGAGTAGAACTAAAACTGAATACATGGAATGTAATTTTAGTAGTAGTAGCTCTAGTGACAGAAATGTAACAATAGGTGATCAAATTATTAAAAGGTGTGAACACTTTAGATATCTCAGGTCTATTGTTTAATGTGATAGTGATATTGATGGGGATGTTATTAGTAGAATTCAAGTTGGTTGGTTGAAGTGGAGGAATGTTTCAGGCCTATTGTGTGATAGAAAAGTGTTGTTTAGACTAGAAGAAAAATTTTATAAGATGGTGATGAGACCTGCAATGCTCTACAGCGCTAAATATTGGCCTTTAAAAGAGAAAACATAAAACTACGTTAAGTGTTGCCGAGATGAAAATGATTAGGTGGATGAGTGGCTTTACACTTAAAGATAATGTCCAAATGAATATATCTAAATGAATATATCTGTGATAGGGTTAGGGTTGATATAGCTCCAGTGACGGACAAAATTAGAGAGAGTCGTCTTAGATGTTTTGGTCACATTAAACATCAACCACCTGATGATCCGATTAGAAGAATAGACGTTTTAGATTTGAATTATGTTAAGAAAGGAAGAGGCAGACCTCGACAGACTTGGGCATGTTGTAATAAAATGATCTTAATTTATTAGAATTAAATGAAAATATGACACTAAATAGGATGCAATCGAGAAAATGATTCATGTAGCCGACCCCACTTAAAGGGATAAAGGTTTTGTTGTTGTTGTTCTATATATAAGACTAACTCTTTTATCATAGACCTCAACATTAATTTTAATTAGACATCTTTTGATGCATCTTCTCCTTGCCAATATACATTCACAAAATACCCTACTTGAATTTGTGAGGAATTTGAGAAAATCAAATAAACTCTCTAATTTTAGATTACTTGAAGAGGAAAAAAGGCAAAGTAAAACAAGTCCTAAAAAATAAAGATAGCGCACGAGCAACACCAAAATTGAAGTTGTTTGGCCACAGACATGCGCCCAATATACATGACTTGATTTACAGATTCGTTATTACACTTCCAGTGGTTGCAAACCTGAAAATATAAATGTTTTTTTTTCAGAAAATTGGTGGGAAAAGAAAAGAAAAGAGAGGATAAATTTGTCAAGGAGGTTGAGATAAACAAAAAAAGGTTGGGAAAAGATGTGCTAGCAAAGGTCCAAAAAAGATTTGATGAAAGCATCAATGTTCTGGAAATTGTGCATATAAGAGCTACACTAGATGGTTAAGAATAGGTGTCAAGCGCTAGGCATAGATGGCTGAGCATAAGGCATTGCAAAGAGGTTGCAAAGTGATGTCATAAGAACAAGTCAAGCAATGCATGCAAGTTTTGTGTATATCTGCGAAGATATCAGTAAACACGATCTCTAAGAGTAAATACATGTGGTTGAGTACAATTATGCGGTAGTTGTGGTGTCCATGTAAGTATCCTATGTTGACCTTCGTGCAATCTCCACAAAGTCAATTCAATTAAATACAACATCACCGACAAGCTATGGATGCAGCAACACATGAAAACTATTAAACACTACTCGAGCACAACTAAAGTTCTTCATTTGCCTCTTATTTTTTTTGAAATGGAATGTGCAATGCGCTCAATGTATCAAAATTATCTAAAAATTGACACTTACATTGTTATGAAAAATAGATGAAAAATTCACATGAAAATCAAGACGAGAATTTGAAATGCTAGAAGGAAGAAAATTCATGCAACAAAAGTTTAAAACAAGTGAAGCGATGACATCAATTTGATGTGCTCGAACGGCAATATTTTTTTTATATTTTTATTTTTATTTTGGTGAGAAAGGATTGTTAGACACAAACAAATTATTCCAAAGTATATGAAAGATATATAATTTAATATTTGTTAGTAGTATCATTTAGAATTTAAAGTAAACCTTATATATATATATATATATATATAATCACATAGAGTTAACATGAAATAATTTGAGGGTGAATTCTGACCGCAAGACTCTCAGCATAGATAGGCATAGATTTAGGCTAAAACCTTTAAAACCCATCATCAAATCTTATTGAAATCAATTAAAACATTAGTGGCTGTGAGTGATCAATTGACACTCCCAAAGAAGAAATACGTCAATCACATCTTCTAAGTCAGCTAAGCCACCCTTGGAAGTTATTTCCCATGATAGAAGAGAGATTAATCCCAAATGGCCGCTAAAACCATCATTAACTTTATAATGCAATACGACCCCATATTGAACCCATTGATTTATCTAGGTTAGACTCATCTTAGACTGACACAAAACTTGAATGGATTGCACCTCACACTTTTAAGAGCCACTTCTTGTAAATTCAAATCTAAGTAGATTCACCCAAGCCCCTCCAATCATGCCAAAATCAAATTGATAAATTCACACTTTGGGTTTTTTTAAAACCAATTTGAAATTATACATGAACCAATTAAGCTTAGCCTTACTCATAGAGGAACATAGCTACCTAGGAAAATCCTTGCTTGGGCTTAGTAAGCTAGGCAACCCATGCATCGCCATGGTCAAGCAGGGCTGACCCCAGAACCCAAACTATTATGGAAACCATTCAACACGAACTCATTGGAGCCTTTCATAAGAGAGATGGTGGCGACAAGGTTAAGCTTGGTGTGTCTATGGAGGTGGATGAGCTTGGCAAGGAGATTGAAGCTGTAGTTGAGGTAGCCAGCATCTTGGATAGTAGTGACTTGCAGATCGTGGGCTCCGTCATAGGAGCATGTGACCGTGGTGCAACTACAACACTCATAGAAGCCTATTTATTCTGAAAAAGAAAAAAAAAAACTGTATGGAAGCCAATTTATTATCCCGTGGCACAGGCGCAGCACCCTTCGTGTGGTAGATAAAGATGCCAATGGTTTACTTTCTGGCACTACAGGCGAAGAGCCGCAGCCTTCGCAGCTGATACAGATGGGACACATCCCGCCAGCATAAGCCCAGATGAGGGCCACAGGTACTCCAGGCAGTATGCCACATTAGACTAAGTCTCCAACCAAAAGAGAGAGCAGAAAAAATTGTAAAATACTTGGGACAAATCATGAGTGTGGACTGCATTGAAGTAAGTATTGTCCTACCAACTAGTGATCAAATGGATGTATATTCAGATGGTAACCGAGACTCCGTATTGAGTAGTTATAGGAGATACCTGCCAGAAGCTGTATAACCACCTGTGTCTATGGGAATAACATACTAGAGCGGTGCTTATGCACACAAACTGTTCGACAGAATGGCTCTTCGCATTCCCCTAGCAGCAGCAAGCAGAACAGCACTCAAAAACTCTTTGGCAGAGGGCAAAACAGATCTCACACACCTGGAAAGCCGGTGACAGCAACTGCTCAGCAGGAGAAACATAGTGGCAGCAACTTAAAAGCCATTATGACCAGAATTCCAACTAAGCCTTGAGATAAGTGGACTGGTGCATTGCAAAGACCTGAACACATCAAAATTGATGAGATGGTTGACTTGAATAGCCTCTCTAATTAAGGAATTACAGTCTCTCTTGACCAGGAATCAATGAAAGCAAATCTGAGCCAGTTGGAGAGGGCGTTTGTTTGCAAGCTCCTTGGATGTCAACTCCCATATATGATACTCAACAATGAGCTATGCCATAGGTGGTTGCATTTTGGAGTATTCCAACATTTTATGGTTAGCCAACAATGCCTTTTTATGTATATTTAAAATATTTGAAGCAAGGGATGTTGCGCTCGAGGGTGGCCATGGATGTTGGCCAGTGTTTATACAAATTCTATGTAGGGATTCTCCTCGCCACTGTGGGTAAGATTCTCACACTTCTCGCTCCTCTAATTGGGACAACTAGAATATCATCTGTATTGCTACAATGCTTGGCCAACAAATGTGGTTAGATGACCAAACAAGTAACTAGGATAAGTTTGTGTCCAAATGGACCTCTTAAGTTGCCTACTGGAGTCTGGATACAAGGTGTCATATGAGTCAATTCAAACATTCAAGAATCCAAAATAACCTATTTAAGGTCGTATGAGTCAATGCAATGCTATACATAACCGACTCCAACTATGGATAGACCTAGGCTAGCACCACTAAGAATTGTCCAAGCCAATTTGATCCAAATGGGTTCACTCAAAACCAATAAACCAACCAAGCTGAGCCTATTTTTTAGCCAACTTACCCTACGATGTACAATTGACCTAATCTAAGCCCATGAATTACTACCCAAACCATACATGAGCTTATCAAAATTGCCTATGAGAGATAAAGCTGAGCTACCATGGATCTTGAACTGAACTGAGAGGATTGCCGCCTGCAATCATAGGCTCCATTAATTAAAGCATCGCAACAAATCATTGGGCGTGTCTCTAATCTTAAAACTAGATTGAACCAAATTAGCCTCCCCATGATAAATTTAAGGCGCATAGTTCACTAATTGTCCCTGCATTAGCATAATGAATCTGAATATCAACCAATAAATGCATGTTTTTTTCTTGAAAGGTAATAAATGCATGTTTTTTCGGTGTTTACAGCTTGACTATGCTTACTGCACATTCCTTAGAGGTTTCTCTACCATCCTCAATTTCTTCCCTAGGTCAATTGAGCAATTTATGTGGGAGCACAATAAGCTTTAGTAAGTAAAAGATGACTATTTCATCTCCAGAACAGCGGTGGGGAGTTGAAGCTCTTGTTGCTCAAACAACCTACATTTTGTCCAAATGAAATGTCTACATTCTCAAATGACTGATGAATAAGCTCTGGTAAGATTTTTCACTTGAAAACCTAGATCAATTCATAGAATTTCAAACATTTGTGAAAAAGATAATTGGGTGCTCCAGAAATTTGTTCCTTGCACTTCTAAGAGTGTGGCTCCACGTCAAATTATGAGAAATTTTGAATTGAAGATAATACATAACTCAGACTACTGCAAGGACTTTAAGATCTAGTTGTGTTCCCCATAGAAGCAAATCTTTATAATAAATTATCACTTCTGATGATGAGAGAAAACATAAGATTAAAACTAGTTGATATATATATTAAATGTTTAGCTCATGGTAGTAAGAAGTTTTTTTTTAAATTATTATTTTAGGAAGGGGAAATTTTATCATCTTTAGTTTATAGAGCAGATGCTAGGAAAAATGATGACAAAATCAATTAAATTCCTTTAGCTCCATCAACTTAGGTTATTTTGAAACATGCCAACTTAGTTAAAAGAGGAAGTCAACCCAACTTGACATAAGGATTATTGTCCCTAGCCACTGGCTATATCATTTAAGTGGCCTTCTAAACTTGAGTTGGTATTTGTATAAGGAAATAATTTTAAGTTAAACTTAACTAATAGAAAATTTTGTATCATATCAAATGCGCTCTATTATTCACCACTAAAAACTTGATTGGTGAATTTACAATAAAGAGAATAAATGTGTGTGTGTGTGTGTAATTTTAATATGAAATATTAATGAACCAAGAGTTTGCAATAAATTTGTAAATAAAACCATAATGTTCATCAAACATATTGTGAAACAAATAAATGTTCTTCGCTTCTTTTATAAACTTGATAAACAGACATATTACGTTTCTTTACATATTCTACTTCTTTTTTTGATGAATTCTTGTATAGGATGGACTAATCTACGGAACTTTATGCCCATGTTTATTTTTCAAGGAGAAGATAGAATAAATATAAAAAATTTATAAATATCATGAATAGTATGAAACATAAGTTTGTTTCGGGACAATAATGAATATATATATATATATATTGTGTGTGTGTGTGTGTTTGTGTTGGTGTAGTTCTTTAATGTTGTAGATTTGTGGATAGTGTAAGTGAAAAACTTAAAGTTTTCATTAGGGTTTAGGGATAGTGTAGATTTGTAGACCCTAAACCCTAAACATTTCATATTCTTTTGAATTTAGTATGGCACTATAAATAAATTGATGATCCAAAATTTTTGACGGATAAATATTAATTTTTTTTTGTGCAAAAAATATTTTAAATATGTAAAATGTAATAGAAATAAATATTGTATCCCTCCCACTGTTCTACTACAACTCCTAGAATTAATATGCAGTATAGATTATAAAGATTAGGATGTGACACTTGGCCTTATTGAGAAAGGTGTTCCATAATGAAACACATTTGCACGGTTAATTCAACACAAATCTGAGCTCTGCATCCAGATCAAATTCGACTTTTTTCGGAACTAAGACGGCTTAATCTATTTGAGGTAAAGTAAGAACAACAAAGATGTTACCCAACTAAAACAACAGACACTCAAGTAGGTTCAAATTACGCATGCATAGCATTTCAATGTGCAGCAAAAAGAGAGTAATGCAAGTTTAGAGTATAAATAAAAAATGTCAAACTGAAGAGCAAATAGTAGCTAGCCTTTCTATACAAGGTTGAAAGATCGGCTTCATCAAAAGGAAGGTAGCCGGCCATCAACACATAAAGTATGACTCCACATGACCACAAATCAGCTGCAGAACCAACATAACCTTGGTGGCTGAGAACCTATAATCGGTAAATGCCTTTTCATTGACCTTTACAAAATAGACAATTGGATTTTTCTTGTAAATATATCAATCAAATCAGACATACATGATAACAAAACTACTAAGTAAAGGACCACGCTATGATCTAACCCAAAGTGCAGATGACTTCCAATTATTCATCACAAAGAAGATACGAAGACCTGGAAAATGAACCTAAAAAGGAATCTAAAGCTAAAGAGTACCTCAGGTGCAACATAATTTGGTGTACCGCATGTTGTATGAAGAAGACCAACCCCCTAAAACAAAAAACAGTGCATAACAAACAATAAATTAACAAAAAAATGGAAGATTTCACTATGTCAAAGTATAGTTTCCGCGTTGACAATAAAAAAAAATACTCAAAAATATAAAATAAAACAACTAAAACTTACCTGCTGAGGCAATGCGCTTAATCCAAAATCTGAAACTTTCAAGTTCCCATGTGAATCAAGAAGAAGATTCTCAGGCTGCACATGTAACTTTGAATTTATTAGTCTAAAAAACTATACCAAAGTGCAAGGCAAACCAATTACACAAGCAAACTGCCAACCTTCAAATCCCTGTGGAAGACGCCCCTACTGTGACAATAATCAACTGCGTCAATGAGTTGCTGAAAATATTGCCTGCTTTCATTCTCAGGAAGCTTTCCTCGGTAAACCTGAAGGTTTCAAGGTGCAATTGACAGATACGATTATATTAAAGGGATTATATGACAGTCACTTAACGAACATGGAAATTTGTATATACCAGAAAAGTGAAATTTAACTCCCCTAATTCAATCAAAATCATAATAGATGATTTACAGGGTACCAAAACTGCAGGAGATGTTAGAATAGTTCCAACAGCACAAAATTGTAGACTATCAGAGCATCAAAAGCTTTATACCATCAAAAGTTTCAGATGCGTAACAACAAGGTGCTTAGTAACAAACAGTTCACTAGAAAATGCTTGACTTCCTGATAAATTTCCTTCTTAAGCTGTATACACGGTTTGTGTTAGCAAAATATAGGGAGCTCCAGTTGTTGATAAAGGGATTTGAAGTAGAATGCTAATAAGGATTAAACTGCAGCTTTTCTCATTCATTTACCCTTTGCAAAGTTATTAAACTTCATAATGTACAATCGTAAAAAGCAATTGAAATGTTTAATGAATCATGGCCAGACAAAATATACGGGCAACATAAGTGGAAAATGTACCACAAGCAGATTCAATGGAATTCCAAGCCTGTAGCAGGGAGCAGATACAAGTTCACGACAAACTGACCTAAAATATCCAAAATCCCTGGTTATTTCACCAACCAAACTACTTCATTGCACCCAAAACCCCAACCAATCGTTCAAATTGTCGCACAAGAAAAGGCAAAAGTTTGCCACAAACACAGAAAAATAAATGTCATCCGTGCAAGCAAAAATATTCTAAAATTGGGGAGAATAATAATAATTAGAAAATTTTAATTAATTAAAAAGTTATCATTATAATATTTTTATTTAGAAAATTTATTAGATATAATAATAAACTAATTTTATGTTTTTTGTAAAAAAATGTGCTTGGAAAATAAATTATATGTGAAATAGGGTGTTTTAGAGCCCCCATACTTTCTTCCAATCAAGAGAATAATAATTACTTTTCTTATCATCCACAATGAATTATTGACCCAATCACAGCATCAATCCATCATCAAATATTTAGCTCAGTTAGAGAAGAGTTCTTGAAAAAAGAAAGAGCTAATATAAAACAAGAATGTCAATTTCAAGGCATCATATCTATGAAGAAAAAAAAGTCTATTAATTATTATTAATGTATAAACTTTACAAAGCAAGAGAAGGCTTTAAACATTTCCTAAATGGCAAGATTGTGATCAAGGAGTAATATAATTAACTTCTTTGAGATTTTTTAAAGGTTTTATATTATTTAGAGAAATTTCAAGCATGGTCAAGCCTTACAACAAAAAATCTTGGAAATTCAGTATTTTTTCTTTCCTCCACAAAAGGTGATGCCTCCCTTCTTTGGAATGGCTTTCCTAAGCATGATAATTTTGTCACAGTAGACTTCCTCTCTCTCCTTAATTGGTGGCGTCTCTCGAAATAAGAATGATGCTCGAAATAAAAAATAGTTTGAAAAGTTTAAATGGAGAAAATTACTACTGAAATTTAAAATTAAACAACACTCTCTCCTTTAAATAACATTCTCCATAAAACAAAGCATAAATTATGAATTTAAGCTAATAAAACAATATTGGAGGAAATTTAAATTTTAAAAATAAATTTACTTTTCTTATCATCCTTTAAATAACATTCCCCATAAAACAAAGCCCAATGAAAGCCTTTATTGAATTATTTTATTCTTATAGATTCCATTTATTGACCATAAATATGTAACAGATTTGCAATAGAAAGCAAGTTTAGATGTTAAGATGTAAAATGCTTAGGCATTTTTTTTGGGTAGAGCTTGATGGTTTTCCTAAAAGAACTTTTGGTGAAATGCCCATGAAATATTATTTTATATTTTATCTTAATTATGAAGGAAACAGACAATTTTATTTCATGGTTGTATTTCTTTTTCACTGTTTTATCATTGTGTTATCTCCACCCTCTACCATCCACCAATCCATTTCTTATGTATCTAGCCTAGTCCTCCACTCTTTATTCACCATTGCCAACATTCACTCTTAGCATGTCTTCATTCTCCACCACCTTCAATCCCTTATCATCTTTACTGACTACTTTCCCACTTAGAAAATGTACAAATGCTTCCATCCCCCATGAGAAAGTTGTGTCGGATGATGTCACTTCCAATGAAGAAGATTTCTATTTTATGCTACTTACCCCAAGGAGAAATATCATTCATAAATTTTTTTTTCTCCAAAATTACTCTTCTTTAACCCTCATCCCAATGCACCAACCACTTCTAAAGTGAAGTACCGAAATCATCTTCCACTCAGCACACTATAAATTTACTTTAGGAAAAAGGCATCACAATCTATGTAAGTCCAATCAACCAAATATATTCATTCCACTAAATTAATTGAAGTAACCATTGACTCTGCAAGACAAAAGTACAAGAACTTCCATTGAGCATCCCATATATTTAATTTGATCATAGAAAAAATCTACACAATCACTAATCCTACCTTTCTAGCCTCCATACAATTTTATCCCTAAAATAATCAATGGGACTTTCAATAATATGAATTGGAATAAATTAATGAAGAAAAAAATGGAAGCTCTTTAAGAAAACAAAACATGAGAATTAGTGATACTAATAGAAAGGGAAAAAAAAAGTAGAATGCGTATGAGTTTTTAATATAAAAAATCTAATGGCTCACTAGAAATGTATAAATCCAAACTATTGGCCAAAGATTAAACCAAAATATATGAGATTGATTATTTTGAAATATTCTCTCAAGTTGTTAAATAAACATTGTTCAATTTTTTTTTATTAATAGTTAATAAGGATTAGAAATTACAACAAATTGATGTAAAGAATATTATACTGCATAGTAATCTAAGAAGAGAAAGGGTATATGGAGGTCTCACCATAATTTTGCTCCAAAAAAAAAACAAAAGGTATGTAAACTAAGAAAGAAATTTTGTATGAATTAAAGCAATCTCCCATAGCATTGTCTGAAAGGTTCGCCAAAGTGATGTTCAGCGTTGGACACGAATAAAGTTAAGGGGATCATACATTACTTATTAACACAACTTTAGTGGAAGTATTTGCACTAGTTTATATACATGCCATCTTCAAGATGGGTGGTGACTTGATAAAAATAGAGACTTTAAAGAAGAGAGCTGCTCCAAGAATTTAAGGTCAAAGAATTAGAAATGCTAAAATACTTCCTTAAAATTGAAACTAACCACTCTCAACATAGAATCTTTTCATATCACAACAATAATACATAAAAGAAATATTTAAAAAAATAGGTAAGTTGAGGTGCAAGCCTATGGAGACTCTCATGAAATTTAATCATGAGCTTTGATATATTCCAAAATTTGCAACATTAAGAAAAAAAGCTCCTATGAAAGACTTGTGAGAAGACAATTTAATTTGTGGCATACTAGACTTATAATGCTTCTGATGCTAGAATGTTAAGTTAAATCGCACAAAATCCTAAAGAATCATATCTAAAGGCAATGCAATGAATTTTATAATATCACGTAGCTTTAAATTATCCTGGAAGAGTTCAGAATTTAATGGAAAGGTCTTTTGAAGTTTTATTGTGATAGTAAGTCAAACATCAACAATATCAAAATCACATGCAACATGATACTAGCAACCACATTGAAGTTAATAGATATTTTATAAAACAAATACGGGATAGTGGTCTAATTTGTATTCTATTTGTTAACACAAAAATAAAAAACTTGCAAACACGCTGACCAAAAGATTACGGGCAACCTTCCAAAAAGTTATTAGGCATGTTTGGAATCTATAACATTCATTCATTCCCTCGAGGAGAGTTGAAACTAAGAGCCCTGAAATGACCCTAGTACTTGTCGTCAGTCCCAGATCCTTGCAGTCTGCCCCAATCCCTCATCAACTCCCATGTTGGTTTACACAGCTTCTAATCCCTCTTCAGCTCGCCAAATATTCATACCCTTTTGTTTGTGTGGTCAATTGTCATCTCACCATGTGATTATTGTTGCCACCTAACCAATCCATGAGCAGATTAACAGAAATTAAATTCTGCCAAGTTTTTACCTAAATTTCAACCCCTAAAATGTACACATTTCCTGCTAAAAACTGTCATAAACCTGTAAAAATCAACACAAATAATGGAATGAAACACTCGACATTCTCTGCGATCCTTTTCAATACTTAAAAAAATGTACTAATTCAAAGAAAAATTCTATCAGGATGAAAAATATGGAAGTTCCTTTGCTGAAGCCCAGAAACACTTTTTTGGATCCGCAGGTAATGATCAAATTTAAATTAAGAGAATTAATTCAAACGTAACACTATAAACACATGCAAGCAGAAAGGCTTACTATTTTATCAAAGAGTTCTCCTCCTGTGATAAGTTCGAGAATAATGTATATCTTTGTTCTGCTAGCCAAAACCTAAACCCACAGTGAGCATACACGCATCAGGAGACACTGGCTAAAAAAAGATAAGATTGCCTGAGAAACAAGCTAAATCATAGTAATATAATGGTCAAATAATATCATCAGAGAAAGAAGCATTTGGTAGCACACCTCATGCAGCCTGATAATGTTGGGATGCCTTACGATTTTCATAATGGAAATTTCCTTCCTGATCTGAGAACAAAAATTTAGGTCATGTATGGATCATTAAGGATGTTGAACAAAGTCGAGAACATGCGTACAAATGCAAAAAATTTAACAAAAAAAGGCATATGTACAAGTTCACACATAGTAGGTATCATACCCAAGCAATGTTAAAATCTACCAAAAGCATGAATGATATCGTTACAATAATAAGATTAAAAACATTAGGTTCTCAGAATATGCATGTACTAATCAGGGATCAAAACTTATTCTTTACTTGGAAATTAAAATTACACAAATATTATTTTAGAAATATATTCATTATCAAACTTCAGAAAATACAATTAATTATTTTTTTAATAAATTTTTCATGTGGAAAAACTAAATGGAATGTTGTAATTACATAAAATAGATAAGATAGGTAAGGTATAAATATTCAATTATCCATCTTTTGCAACTAACAACAAAAGAAAGATAGATCTTGGAGAATATATGCTGATAGAAAAATTAACAAAACCATCCTAGCAGGTTTATATATATATATATATGTGTGTGTGTGTGTGTGTGTGTGTGTGTGTGTGTGTGTGTGTGTGTGTGTGTGTGTGTGTGTGAGAGAGAGAGAGATTATAATTTCAGAAAATAATATTTTAATTTTGAAAAGGGTTTAGGGTTTAGGATTTAGACAATAGAAATTACTTAAAAATACTCTCAATTAAGATCAGTGGTTTTGTCTTCAAGATTGCAAGGTTTAGGTTTCTAAGGTTAAATATAAGAAAATCAAATGGAAAGGGTTCAAAAGAGGAATAGTTATTTTCAGGAGTTAATGGAGTGAGAGGTGGGAGATGTCACAGATCCCAGGGAAGCCCAGATAACACTTCAACTATCCTACGATTGGATCTTAACTCTAAAGAGACATCCTACACCTGGTTGTCTTAGTCTCGATCGTCGCTCCCCGTCCGCTTGCTTCCACAATCCGCTTCTAGGAAAAAACTACTCTAAGTTCCTCAATAAATCGATCATAAGTTCGGGATTGTGGTGTGTATAAATGTACAGTTATTAGGTCAGGGGCTCGCCACGGGGTACCTCTTAAACCGAGTGTCCTACTGTCCTCTAACCTAAAAATCCCCTGCAAGTTTATAGAAGCAACATGAATTATAAAAGGGAACATTCTACGAAACGTAGTAATCAGTGAACAACAATATTGCAGGAATGAACTATGTGTATATGCAGTAAAGTGTGCAATAATAAAAGTAAACGCTGTAAATGTAAAACAAACCTGTATACTTGGCGGGTCTGCGACACCTGAAAAAACTTAAAAAAAAGCGCCAGATGACCCACGATAACTCGAAGAAACCGTCGAAAACACGAGAAAAATTTGGAGAAAATCACGATTGCTCTACAAAAATCTCAACAAAATCGTTGGAAAACGCGCAAAAATCCAAGAAAAAAAAGAAAGTCGTAAGCATTCGGGTTGGGCTAGGCTCAAACATAGGTATTCTCAAGGGACTCTAAAGGCAACTATCGGTCACTCGTATGTATAGAGTTATACATTCATCTAGAATAGGTGTCCCACTCTACCAACTTGAGAGGGTACTCCTTAGCCCGACACCGGCAATTGACAAATGGAAAACCGAATTATATTACTTCAAATTTATATTTTTGGATGCATGTAAGAGAAAATAATATCTATTTTTGTAGTCAAAATACTTTTGTAAATAGCGTATTAATTCTTATCGTATATATTCTTATCATTTTTTATAAAATATGATTGTCCACAAGTCTAAGACCACAAACGACCTAAGAAGGCAAGGGTGTCCTGCTAGTCTGGTGTCGATGAATAATATTGTCATCCTACAATTCATCGGGTCCCTGGATTGGATCTCGATGTCGTAGGATGAATATTATTCCGCTCTACCACCGAATTTTTTATCATCAAGGTCTAAAACCCAAAAAAAGACCATCCAACTTACGACCTTGCTTGCTGGTTTCATATATAACAGATGATATATATGCACACTTATGTTTCGGACATAAGCGCCTAAAACTCAAACCGAAAAGCAAGAAAAGTAAACCGAAAAGCAAGAAATAAAAAATTAAAAGAAGATTAACCCGCCTCCAAAAATTAATTTAGAAAGGAAAGTCAAAGCGGTAGGATGGTTAACCTAAAATATTCAACAGGTGGGTCTCCTCGAATGCGCAATGAAATAGGGCATACTCACCAATGCTAGCCAAGGACATCCCCGGAAGGCACAATCCAGAAGTTTCCAAGTCACAACTAAACTTTCTCCAAATACCAAAAGGATTCTCTCTTTTTTTCTCTTTTCTTTTAATGCAATCAATCTGGCCAAGAGGATTAGGCTCTGAATTCTTTAATAGATCGTCCTCGAAAAGGGACATCTAAATTCTTCCAAACATAAGGATTAAAATATTTCAAGCCCTCAAACTAAAGCTTCCATGAGGTATGAACCCATACAAGCATTCTCGGGTACGGCCAGCCAGCCAACACAAAAAAGGAAACCATATAGATGCTCTCGGGTAGGGGCAGTCAGGATAAGCAGCCATAACAAGGCCCCACAGCTAAGGGCAGCAGGGGAACCAAATAGCCAAATAGATGCTCAGGGCTGGGGGGCAGCAGGGGAGCCACCAACCAACACCAAGAGAGCCCAAACTGTGGATTTTGTATAGGGACAGCAAGAAGATCACTAAAATCAACACAAAGAATGCCCAAACTGCATATTTCAAGTAGGGGCGGCAAAGGCACAATCAAAACAAACACAAAGAATGTCCAAACTGCATGTTTCGGGTAGGGGCAGCAAGGAACAGCCAAGCAGGACACAAGAAACCCAGTTGGGATGCTCACAGGCAGGGAGCAAACCAAAAAAAATGCCCACAGTCAAGGACAGCAGGGGAAGGGGGTAACAAGACAGTAGCCCATGCTCACGAGAAAAGCCCAATAAGGTTCTCCAATAGAACCATTAACCAAGAAGAAAATACGCCAAAGAATCAGCAATTCCACCATAAATATAAACACCCTCATATGATTTAAATAGAAGAGGCAACAAAGAGACAGTAAACAGAGCCCCAAAGCCAAACCTCCAAAAGCCCAAAAAATTGAATGAGAGCCACCTGAATATGCTTCGAATAGGGGGCAACAGAAGAGCTCAAAACAAAACCCCCAAAGTAAAATTTGCAAAAGCTTCAATGTTAAACCAACATAGCAAAGAAAACCGCAGCCCATGAGGCTAAAACAACCCTCAAGCCTCAACACAACAAAGAAAACAGCAGCCCAGGAGGCTAAAACAGCCCTTAAGCTCCAATGTTAAACCAACACAGCAAAGAAAACCGCAGCCCAAGAAGCTAAAACAACCCTCAAGCCTCAATGTCAAGATATAAATTTGATAAGAACACAAGAAGAAAATTTGTACATACGTAAGAGCTGAACCACGTCTTTTGCAAGCCTAACATCCTTAGCTAAATAGCATGAAGCATTTAAAACAGACCCAACAGGATCCCTAAAAGCCTACCAACTGATAGCAAGCTTAACATGAGATACCAGCTAAGGCAAACAACTACCTGCATCTATATATATATTCTCTCCCTTTTTTTTTAGAAACGAAGAAACTCGCTCAAACCCATGTCCAGCCTATGTCGAGCAGAGAAGAAGAGCAGAAGAGAGGAAACATACCTTGCTTGGGCCTTTGTAAACAACAAAGGAAAGCCACAGCACTCCCAAACTTCAAGCTCACAAGCACCTAGTCGAAAAACAATTTCCGCAGAGTCTCCCCAAGCTCCCAAAATTTGTAACCTCTCAACTCTCCCCCAACAGGGTCTTTATAGCAGAGGAGGGGAGGAGAGGAAGAGCGAAAGAGGGAGATAGCTAGGTCCAGCGCAAAGGAGTAAAGAGGAGACTTCGGCTGCCAGATCGAGAGAGAGTCGTGAGTCGTGGCCTCGTCTCAAAGATGAGGAGCGTTCGCCGGAGGATGGGGAGTTTTGGGAAGGAGGATAGAGCAGGGCAGCCGATGGTCTCAGGAAGAATATTCTCAGACAGAGGGTGTCAGGCGCAGAGCAAGAGGTCAACGAGTGAGAAGAAGCGGGAAAGAGAGTGAGGAGCGATTAGGGCTCGACGGACGGGCCCCTCTTAGGCCGAATGGAGAAGGCTCGATCGAATGGGCAGGTAGTGTGCATGAGTGTGAATTAGAGATTTAGCAAAATAAACTCCTCCCTATCCGACTATATAACACAAATATAACCCCTCCATAATATATATGATATTTAAATTTGCTCGATTTGCGCATCTCTCACTCGTGCACAAAATCATGTCGAAGTAGGAGTCCTTCCTAGCTAAATTTGACGTTTCAGACGCGTAGGCGTAGTTCGTTTCGTCATTCGGGGTCGTTCGGACGACTTCGTCGGCGGTCAGGTCGAAAACGCGTCAAATTCAAATTTCTTTAAAATTATCGCTCATGATCGATGGTAGAGCCTCCTACGGGTGCAGGTGATGTGAATTTCGATAATTTAGTGCATCGATGCGTGAATTGTGGTATTTGTGCATCGTGAGTGTGCGCAGACGACGCGAAAGGTTTCCTAAGGCTTTAGATCCTATGGGTACTCGACTCGAGCTTCATTGCGCTGGTTTTAATCGACTCAAATAATCGTTGAGGATTTAGAACTGGTCACATGAAACTGTGAGTCAAGAAGTGACTCGAATTTCTAGTTGGTGCAGGTCTCAGACTAGTCCTCTAAGAGAGTCGGTAGAAAACCCTAAGGCTAAATCCTAGACTATAAGAAGAGTAAGAGACCTCACCAAAAGTCTGTTGGAAAATATATAGTTGAACTGAAGTTGTAATATCGTTGAGCCCAAGAGCATATCATTGCCCGAATCATCGTTGGTTTGCATCCTAAAATTGCAAATATTACACAATTACAACAGTATTCGATGTTAAATAATATCACTAAATTAGCTATAGGAATGGTAGGATGATTGGCCAACCTTAAGAATTTTTCTTCTGATTTAGGATACAAATTTCATA